ATATTTTTCTTGGATAATCTGACTGAGGAAATGTTTGGTTTTGTTTTTACAGCTTCAGAGACACTTGCAAGCACATACCTTTCCATCTATTGAAAGGCTGAGACAGAAGGAGCAGAGCCTTCAAAGACGCATGTTGAGGGTGAGAGAGAAGTTGTCGCATTGAAAGATCTTACCTAATTTCGTTATGTGAGTCCAGATTGCAGTCAAAGTTACGTTATTCACTCTTGTGTTCTGGCTTGTGTGCTTGAAGGTGATGAGGATAATAGAGGGCTTAGAGGGGAAGGGTTTCCGGTTACCCTTAACAAAAGGAGAGGCCGAACTGTCTGACAAGTTAACTGCAATAACAAGACAGGTCTCATTTTTTATTTAATTCCTAATCGAGAATATTACAAAGTTTGATGTAGAAAAATTGGTGTGGATTCTCAGGTGAAAGGTCCTGGAGCAGAGCTTTCTAGAAGGGTACAAAGTCTGCAGACAATATCTCGCGCTCAAGGAAACTCCATTGCTGCTGGTAGTTCCTTTTATCTCCCTGGGTCAACTAAAATAGACGAGCAAAGCCTGATCGATATGCAGGAGGTATGATATACATCATCTTTGGTCACCAATCTCTGAATTGGCATATGGATATTTTGCTATATTCTTTAGGAAGCTACATCAGAAAACTATGTGACTGTTTGGAACATGGTAAACAGGTATTGCAACAGGAGACGGAAGCTATAGGAAGGCTTGGGAGCGTATTGAAGCGAGACATGAGGGATATGGAAATCATGGTGGCTGAAGATACAGAAATGACTCAAGACACATAATAGGAAATCTGCAATTACTCCAGTTTCTAATGTCACCTTTCCTCTGTACTATATGCCTGGTTTGGTGGGTACATTGTTATGCTCAGACATGACAAGGCTAGCTTTGGATTTTAACATGTACGTAGTAGCTGGGCTATGAATCTTGATGTATTGTGGTTTCTTTTTCATTAAAGTCTTTGGAGGAGACTGCCTTATTTTGTTCACAAACACTAGTGGATAGATTGGATGTTTAAAGTTACAAATGTTGGTAATCAAAACGGTTACTAAAAACACACGGTACTCTTCGGACATGATTAAGACGATAAGTGCAGACCAGCCTGTGAAGATACGTGCACCTTCTCCAGTTCCTTTTGTTTGATCGTAGTGTTCCCAGATATATCCAGTCTGGTCATAGTTCCTAACGACGGTCCTGCATCAACAACACAAACTACTCCTGCATCAACAACACAAACTAGGTAAGGCGACATATACTTAGACATCTTCAACTGTCCTTATACAACCATAGATACCTTATCAGATTGCTCCTTAGTTCCTCATAAATAGTTCTTGCCTTGTCGCTGTACGGTCCATCCACTGAAGAGATTTTGATGGGTTAGATAGAACTTTTTGTTTTGTGAAGTGAGGGGATCAGAAATGTACCTATAGAGTAATGGTGCAGGGAAGAAAGAATCAGGTAATTCATGTTCATCCATATTGCACCTCTCCAATATGGTGCTTCGTGCTCAGTATTATACTTCATGTACAAAGCACTGCATGAAGACAAATGAGTGCTTACGGAAGAATGAAATTTCTCCGGTTTGTTCGTTCTTGTGGGCTCACCTAGTTTTGCCAAGTGAAAGTAGTCCATAGTCGCTCCATACAATGCTCCTGTTTGAAATGAGGTCAAGCTGTTTGCCGAGGATTGAAGAATCCTTTCATCAAGCAACAAAAAAATGAGAAGGTTTCAAGTCACTTGTCCATAATGGTTTCAAGAATCAGTGGAACGATTGAGTAGATAGAGATGTTATTGCACAATATAGAACTCACTGGTGGGATGATTCTAAACATGAAGGGAAAGAAGCTGACATAACCGATGTGAGGAACCAATCTTAGCTCTGGCTTCCCAAATGTCTCCCTTACAAGCTCTCGAGATAGGTGACCATCTTCATCAACTACCTCGTTCCATATCAACCGAACCTGGGAAATCAAACCAATGAATTTTTCAGGAATAAATTCTCAGTTTTTTTTATCTATCATGAAAGTTGATATTGAGGCTTCTTTGTGGGATCATCCACTTACTTGTTCTGTATGGTAACCAAAGTCGATGTACGCCCCATGGTCATGGTCATAGTGCATCTATATAAATTAATAGGAGTTAGAGGAAGATCATGCGAGCAAAGATTGTTTAATCTTTGACAAGTAAATTAAGCAAGTGTTCTATTTTCTTGTCATGTTCTTCTAACCGTCACAAGGTCTTTTTCTCCCAGAAACTCGGTGATGGAGTTCATGCAATCCGCCGCAAGATACATCCAGCATCTGAGGTTGACGTGCCTCTCATCTTCGCTTGGGTGTGAAGCCCGAGGATAATCATCCAACCTCGAGGAAAGTGACTGCACATATTTGTGAAAGCTAAGAGCATCATTAATGGTAAAATTTTGTAGGTGTCTTTAAATATAAAATTATTAAAATTTGAGTAAAAGGAAGAAAGAGAGTGTTTTTGTTGAAATAATGGGGTGTATTGAAATATAAAATTAATAAAATTTGAGTAAAGAGAGGAGATAGTGGATATTTTTGGAGAGAAAGTGTCTTAGGAAAACATAAGAATACACTTTTGGAGAGAAAATATCTTTTAGTTGGGGTGTATTTAAATATAAAATTAATAAAAGTTGAGTAAAAGAATGAAAGAGAAGGTATAAAGTTGAGTAAAAAGAAGAGAGAGTGTGTTTTTAATATTTGTATATTTAAAGACACTAAAAAAAAATCACCAATGCTGATGCTCTAAGGCTTTCTAAATCATTTCAGAAAGTTAAGAATCAAGAAAGAGTAGCTGAGGGTTTAGTTGTTGAGTTGTTAAACTGTCTCTTCCATGCCAAAAGTAACTTCCCATCTCCTTCCCTGGTGTTTGATCAAAACACAGAAACAGAATGGCTCTAATGTAAGTGCTAGAAACAAGAAACACTTTGCAGTTGAAGACTGAAAGCAAACAATTGTTCTTGTTACCTATCTGGGAAGTACTGAACCATTGAAACCATGCATCTAGCCGTACAAAAGCTCGGTCAAGAAATGACAAGATTTCATCTCTTTCCGCTTTGACAAATTTCTCTCTACGTATCCCATTGATCAGATCTCGAAAATACAACATGGAGTTGATTTCATTTCTTTGCACTTTGAATCTATGATATTTTTCAATCCAAGAGCATCAAACAAGGTGAAGCACTAATAATCTTGGCGACAAAGTCCTTATTGTAGATAGTGGAACAGATACATACAACAACTACTACCAAAAAAAATATCATCCGAGAACCATAATCAAAGGGCAAAAGGTGCAGTCAAGATACAAAAACAACGTATTCATACCGCGTATCACCAAAAGTAGTGTAGGTGAATTGCCATTACTTGGGTATTGAACAACGTATTCCTTTGGAATCTTACTGCAACAAGAACAACAAAACTTAAGAATTATTGACAACAATGATGAGTTGTGACTACTGAGGTTAGTAGGAGTATATTTTCTAACAACCTTAATGCTTCATCACCCAAAATTTGTGATAAGAATCAAGTGTAATCTTTCGATAATAGAGGAATTACAGAGCCAATTATCTCAAGCTTCCCCAATCTTGAGACAATCCCTAATTCTGTCAATCTGGTCCTTTCCCCAAATCCCAGACCAAAACTTCTAATTGCCCTAGAGGGTCTCTTTATACTAGAGCCCTTTAACAAAACCAATAATCTCGATTAAAACTCTAACTTATATTTAACCGACTTATACAACTTGTGAAGC